TGTTATTTTCAGTAAGATAACTTTAATGTCAACTCAGCTTGAATTACTTCCTGTTATGAAAACACAACTGAAAGGTCTTCAAGAACTGAACAACTTGTACTGCATTTATTATTCAAATTATTCAAATGATTTGCAAAACATATTTATGGTTTAGTTTCTCAAAATATGTATGTGTACACATATATGTACACATAAAGACATCGGAAGTAGTTTTGTCTTCTCTTAATCACTTGTAGATCCCTTACAGTTGAAAATAAATGATTGCAAGATACCATGGACTGTTTTGCTTCTGTAAGAAACCTCTATAACTGTTACAAGTGCACTTTATACATTTTGGGGTACATGGTGACTCTCAAGTTCACAAAATTTGTGTTCTTATTATTCATCATTACCCTCTTCCAAAGGTGATTGCAGCAAGCAAGGGGTTGGTCTCTTCTCACTGGCGACAGGACAAGGGGAAATGGCCTTAAGTTGCATCAAGGTAAGTTTAGGTTGGATATCTGGAAACACTTCTTTACAGAAAGTGTTATTAAGAACTGAAATAAATTCCCCAGAGAGGTGGTTGAGTCACAAGTTTTGAATGTGTTTTAAAACCATGTAGGTGTGGTGCTCAGGGACACAGTTTATTGGAGGGTGGTTAGAGTTAGGGTAGTACATTAGCTTTACAGTTGGACTTAATGATCTCTAATGTCTTTTGTAACCCTAGCAATACTATGATTCCACTCAAATCACTCTGGAAGCAAGAAAACAGGCACAATATTTGATGTATGATTACGCTTAAAAGTAAGTAAATAAATAAATAAATGGGGTTACAGATTTCTACATCAGAAAATAATTTCTGACGCATTTTTATCTGACATCATTTTATTCATTATTAATGAAGTGAAATAGTGAGCTGGGTTGAAAATCAGTCACCATATAAATATGAAAATTGAAGCATAAGCTTATGTTTTTGTATGCAAAGTGTTCCAGAACCATATACATATGCTGGTGTGACAGCAATTCAGTTCAGCCTCTTTTTTTCTGGTAGAACATTCAAAAGAAAATTTTAAACAATGCCATGCTGTCACAGACATTAGTGAGCTTTGGGTTGGATGCTCAAAAACTGGATAGAAAGTGAAACTGGATGGTGAAGGGAAAAGCAATGTCAATTTTTGTGCTACTAACTGGTCATAATCAATTGCCAGCTTTGGGAAAACCAACTGTCATTAAAGGCACACAGCAGAATGCTTGAATTGCAGAGAAAGAACAGTTGGAAAGTCTGAGACATGGCCATACCTTCAGTTATGTGGACATCTCTATGTGGTCTCTGAAGTTCAGGGTAACCTGAGGCACAGCATCCTAATTTCACTTCATTTTTGTAGAGAACTCGATCAGACAGGAAGGACTTCAGACATCTTGTCTAACTGATACTGGTCATGTGATGTTGTCATAAAAGAAAGTGAAATATATGAAGACTATGGAATGGGAACATTACTAAAGCCATTAACATTAAGAAGATATGCAAAGTTTTCTAATTTCAGTGGGATTGAGATAGCACCATTTGCAAGTGTCTGCAAGTGTCCATAAACGATGATTTCAGTCACTAGATTTACAGCAGCAGTTCCCTCTTCTCCCATTGTCAATGGTTTAGCAATGTCTATATTTGCCAATCTTTGTCTCTCTGTCTGAGACGAATACAGTTTATGTTGCTTCTCCTATTGCTGCAGTAGTTCCAAAACCATTAGACCAAAGCCAGAGACCAATTAAGCTTGATGTTGTAAGTGAATGTTTTTGCTCTAAAGACCACATGAATAATAATAATTAAAAAAAAAAAAAACAAAAAAAAAACAATGAAAAACACAATAGAAAAGGGAGAGAAAATACAGAGCTCAAGTGTCAATATTTATGTTTCACAGAAGAAAAAATATTGTATATACTAGAGACACATTTAGATACATTGTAAACTAAAGGCATTGGTAAGTGTAGAGCTGGGAGACGGATCACCTGCGATTCAGTGCCTAAATAGAAGACAGTTCCTCAATTTGTGCATCCCATCAACACCTTTTTAAACTACTCTCTGTTGAACTTTGCAGGAAGTGACTTGCAAAACAAAGATAAAATATATTAGTTGTTATGGTATCATAGTCACATTCCTGTTTTCCAGGGATCTTATTGCTTACAGATACGGGACAAGAAGAATAATTACCTTTACAGTTTGGAAGTACCTTAGTACAACATTAGATACAGATATCTATGAAATACATTTTCTATATATATTTTTTTTTCCCCACAAAATATTTCTTTCAGTTAAAGTCTTGGATTTTCCTGGCACTGATTATTTTATCTATTCCTAGAATAACTTGTTTTGTTCTTTCACAGGGCGTGTAACAAAGGTTTCTCTGAATTCAGATAAAGACTGAATATGTCTCTAGACTAAGGCTATTTACATACAGGACAACGCTGAATCCTTACAAGAGTAATTTGACTAGGCTTTCCCATGTTTCACTGCAGCCATTATTGAATGTTGCATTGAATCCCTGCAAGCAATTCCCCATGTTCCTTACTATACTCCTGTCTTTGGAAATGCTACCTCAAGCTGGACGCCACATATTCCTACATTCTGACACAGTTCTTCCACCTGGGAAAACCGCAATAAAAGTGGATACAGTTGATATCAGTTGGCAGAACTCAGAGAATAATAATAGTAATAATAAAAGATAGCAGAAAAGCTTTATTCTGGAGTTGTTTTTTGGACATCTGCAGCCAGATGGTCACCTCAGGGAATTTTCTGGAGATTGCTGTTGTTCAAGCTATGTCTCCACAAGAAGGCACGTTTCTGGTGTATGGTAGGCTTGTTTTTCTCTATTTCCTGGTAAAGAAATGGTCTTAAAGGAAACACACCTTACAGCACCCCACAAGAGTAAGCGACATGCATACAGTCTGTTTTTATACCAGATGCAAAAAGTTTGGCTTTCTTTTTACTAGTTTCCAATGAGATTACAAAAGCAGATCTACTACTTACGAATGTGAGCAGGAATAAACTTGCAATATACAGCTTCAACCCAAATGCAAACTACACTGCCTGGTAGACCAAACTGGGGTCTACTGAAATTAACATCCCTGACTAGCTGCATCATATTGAAGGTAGGACAGCCTGCATCTCTCTAAATAACAACAACAAAAAAGTTAGAAAGTTTATCTCCCTTTTCTTAAAAAGAACATTATTCTTTTTTCATAGCGTTACTTTGGGTTCAAAAAGCACTCCCAGAGACAGTCAGCTAGCCTCTCTGCAATACAGGGAAATACATCACTCCTTTCAGAAATGGATAATAAACACCTAATTACATTTAGCCATACTGATTTTATTTTAAGCCATTCCTTGAGATCGACAAATACACAAAATAGCATAAAATGGCTTTGAAATTCAGAAAATAACTATCATATATAAAGTCTTCTTAAAAGCTTTCACTGAGTTTTGGCTGCAAAGGAACACATTTAAGAAATATCATGTCAGGTTCAGTCCTCTGGTTTTTACCTAGCTATTTTCAACTTTTATCTCTGTTGTTTTTCTCAGGCTCTATCTTTCCCTCTTCAGTGCTGCTTTCCTTTGATGTCCACGTTTTGAAACATCAGAAAAGTTAAGAGACTGTGTTCTGCCTTTTTCCATGCACCTCAAAGATCCTGGAAACCCCAGGGATCTTCTAATAATAAACAGCAGCTTCCCAATACAGAAGGTGTCTTTGGGACAGATTCTACTGTGAATGAATTTCTGTTTCTTTAGTGGTTCTGTACAGACAACTGCAGTTTTCTTCCACTTTCATGGACATTTTCAAACCATTCCTATTCACTGCAACTCAAACCGTCTACTGTGTATTAAAAATGTCAGTATTTGGCCCCCTGGCTGTTAGCATGCCCATATTTTGCAGCAGATCTCTCTATTACTTTTCTTTTACCTTATCTTCTTTCGTGATTCTGAGACTGTTTGTTGTACACTATACAGAAAATAAATCTTTATTTGGAGTCCTTAAGAAATGAATTGTGCAATGCAGTTTTATGGCTCCAGTAAAAGTCCCATGTACCCAATCCTATATTTTCTTTTAGGCACTTCTTAGTTTATCATTGCTAGTAAGTGTAACAAAGCTATTCTCAGGATTCTTGTACTAATAGTCTCAAGTTATACACTTCCAATTATCACAAAATCATCACCTCTAACACACTTTATTTTTGCAAAGCTCAAATGAATAAGAGAAGGGATATTATTCCTTTGTACGTTTAAGAAAAAAGGCAGAATAAAAGTCTGGAATACTAGAGTTAATCTAACTTTAGCTTGAGCTTCTTTTGAAATGAACTGTTTATTCCAAACTTGGGTGTTGTTATATGCATCATCCTCTGATAATGTTTATCATCGTGAATAACACTACTGAAACAGAGCTTGCTTTCATTTCCATATGTAGTTGCTCCATTACTCACTCTTTTATTTGAAAAATCATTGTTTTTATTGGCTTTGGCAGAGGAAATTTAACCATATATATAGCATTTACTAGAAGGTAAGAGTCTGTCCTCTTATATGTGCAACTTAATCTGATTACTAAACAAAGGTCTGATTTTTCCGTAAATGAATAATTTTTGCTAAATACTTGTTTATCCTTTTGCAGTTATTAAATAGGGGCCCACCCACGTGACTGTTCCCCCCCATTTTTTCCTTCTTTTTTCTCCTTTTACTGCCCTGACATTTAACATTATCCTTGTGTATCTGTTCCCATAGAATGTTTTTTTTAGGTCTTGGTGTTGATTCTGTCTGATAGCTTTGATGAGTAAAAGTTTGACTCATTCAATCAGATCCTAAATGTACAAAACAGATGTCTATTTGATGCTAATTGGCATAGAGGTCTGTTTCAGACAATTACGAACTAGGCCAACTCTGGCACCAGTGTGGACTGTTTTTACCCTCATCCTCCAGATGTCCTATAGTTTCATATGCCCACCCAGTAATGTTAAATAGCATGGGATACAATTACTAAATTGTTGGCAAGTTTTAATTACTTTGTGCTCATTTTCCAGATAAACAAATTTTTCAGCCTGCAGTATTTTAAATAATTGTATGGTTAACATAGGCATAAAGTCATTCTTTTAAGATTTAGAAAAACATACACCACATATGCTTTCTCTCATACTCATGCATACCATTTGTACTTTGTTCACCTTCCATCTCTTCAACACACAACAACTATGCAGAGGATAATATCCCTGTGTCAGCCACGAATAATTTGAGCTTTCCTCTACTCTGCCACCATATCTTCTTTGAGTTGCTCAAAAGATCCTGAATATTCAGTCTGCAAAGCGGGGATCCCTTCTGCTTCAGCTTCTGTTTCTGCTTCTGGTACATGGACTTCACGTTGCTGAGTTTCATTCTTCTAAAGAGGCAAAAAGGTCCTACACCAGTGCAGCAATTGAATGGGACAGCTGATTAGTTCCAGGTTCTATTAATTAGATATTAATAATTGCTTTGTATGCTAGTTCTCTTTCTGGTCAGCTCTTCCTATAGCCTTATTGATATTATACCTATTGACAGTATAGAGCAATGAAACATTTCTATAAAAGGATATAAAAGGATAATTTTCTATAAAAGGAGTATACAGAGGAGTATTCCCACCTGAAGAAAAAGATCAATCAACTGTTCAGTTCAATTCTGCAGTTAGAGTAAGACCAGTTTTGCTCTTTTCCATAGTTATGGCAAAAGCATAGTAATCAATTCCTCAGATGAATGAGCAGTGATACTTGCTAATTCTGAAAGATGTTTGCTTTCTTAGCTGTTCTTGCTCAGTAACAAGCACTTAGAAGTTCCCCCAGGGCTGGGTGAAAAGTGGAAAAATTAGAAATAAACATATGTTAATTAGTCTCGTTAGAAATTCTTTGCACATGCTACAATTAAATTACTTGTAGTTGCCTTGAAGAAAGTTAAAAGACTGTCCTTATTATAACGGTTTCTTAATTGCTCTTTACATTAGAAATGGGAAACAGCTGTGTATGTTTTGGTTTTGTTTTTAAGTTGCTTTTTGTTAAAGATGAAGTTTGGTAACTGGTATGAGATCAAGCATACCAGGAAGAAAAGGAAGACTGGACATAATAAAAAGTCACATTTTTAACATTTCAAACATTCCCCACAGGAAAAATTATAGACAGAAGGAGCACGATAAATTTGACTAATCTTTTTAATGCAGATCTGAGACTAAACCATGCAGCAAGACACTTCCCCATTTGTGGGTAATTATGGCAATTTTGGCAGATGTTCTGGAGACCAAGAACTTAATTTTATTGTCTGGTGCATGTAATTTATAAGCTTTCATAAAAACACTGATTAAAATAAACAGAACCAGTCCTACTGATTTCTATGAGTAGACCATGGGTATCAAACAGACTTGTCTAGAGGTTATCTTTGCAAAAAATGACAACATATTGTAAAATAGAGAACTTTTTTTATCTACTTTGTTTTATAATGTATGTATAGTTGCTTAAAAAGTTGCAAGAAAACTTTAGAGTAGTGAGAAGAAAGTAAGCAAAATGAATTTAAATCCTTGCCAAGGTAAATTTCAGCAGCCATAAAAAGTTAAATATTTTATATGAACATCAACAGATAAAAGACAAAAAAATCTTCTAGAGAGACTGAGAGCTTGGTTTATTCTTTTGCAATTTAGTGTTATGAACATCAAACAACACCTCTGGTTACTCCCTCTTTCTGGCCTCCAGAAACGGAATCTCTTTTCTGAGAAGAAGAGATGAGTCAAAAGGAGAGTAATAGAATTTTCTTATTTTCCCAGGCAGAGAAGAGGATGAATCCACTTGTCCTATATTTTGGTAAATCTTACTACCACAAGAATCATTCTGGGGGTTCCTACTTCTATGTTTTAAAAATCAATTTCATTGCTTTGTGTTTTGAGTGAGGAAAAGAGCACAGCCACTTTCTCCAGTTGCTTTGGTTCTGGACCACACCTACCTTACCCATATCAGTCTGATTCCTGTAGCTGGCACTAAATTCCACTCACATTTCACCCCCCAGTAGCTGGCAATTAATCCTTTCATGTCACACACACACAAGGTCACAGTCACACTAGATTCCCAGCAGTAGTTGGTCTGGGAGCACATACAATTCCCATCCAAGTTGCTGGGAGTAGAAGACCCACACTTGTCCCAGTAAACAGCATTGAGACTCCCCCACTTGCTCACATCACAGACCCTGTAGGCTTACACCTCATGTCTGAATCCAGTAGCTGGCACTAAATCTCAGTCCTACACACAAGACACACCAATGGCCTGTCTGCTTCCCAGACCTGACTCCAGTAACTCACTGTCCTTTGTTCACTCACACACCGCTCTCACCAAGAGCTGTCACATTATCCTTGTAGTGTGCATATACACAGAAGAGAGTGTGAATACACAAAGAGAGTTAAGGGGAGATTCATTGAGAAAACATAAGACAGGACAACTGTAGTGATCCAGTGCAGGTCTCAGCTAGATGATAAGTGACTGACAAGCCTAGTTTCACATGTATCGCTCATTTATACCCTTTTCTACCTATCCTTCTATGTTTGTCCTTTCCTTGCATACCTTTCTGAGGTTGCTGAGCTCTGCATTTTCTGCACTCTCCCAATCTGATCAGCTTCAAAATCCAGGCTGATCTTCCTGGAAACAATGTCTACAGTGTGATAGGCCATCAGTTAGTCTGTGTGAGAGAAGTGATTCTTGCCATTGTCTGAAGTTTTCTTCGTCAGATCTGTGTCTCAGCATTTTCATTACTGTTCCCCCTTTAGTTATCATCCTGATGTAGAAATCCTCACTTAGATAACCTTACTTTTATCAGTATTCTCACACTCCATCTCTGTATTTCTCAATTTATATAACCAGCCAGGTTTCTATCTGGTCACTGTCTCCCTGTTTAGAAGTTCTCAATCATATGAACCCAGCTGAAATAGGCATTCCCACAGTCCTAAATGTCCACATCAATTAATCTGGCTGACCAGACTTTGTTCACGTCACTACTTGCCTTTCTTATTATTCCATGTTGCAGTGGAAAAAAATACTCGACTGGACTCCCTGGAACAAACGCTCTCCTTCTCCATGCCTTTTCAACATTGCAGAATAGCACTGTTAGTATTCTATCAAGAATAGAATAAGAGAGTGAGAAACCCACAGTTTCCAGTGTGCTGAAGATATTGTCCACAAATAAAAGCTTGTTGAGGTGGTAATGGACAGCCCAGATTTTTTCAATCAGAGGAATAACTGTTTTCCTTCATTAACTCATTCAATCACAAGTAGACGTGTGGCCCAGCAGTCTTTATCAACATCTCTACTTACATAGAATGTATTCACATAAAGGTAAATAAGCCTAACATATCTACTGATTTGAGAACAATTTGGCCTTATGCAAGACATTGTGTTGTGCTGCATTATATATAAAATACATATATATATTGATTGGATATGTGTTGGTGTGCCTTATAGTGAACAAGTATGATAACCTTGCAAACAATAAAGCATTTCTATGGAACAAATATGCATGTCTTCACCCAGACCAGGCATCACTGTGATCAAGATATTATAGCTCCAAGATGATGCCATAAGGAAACAGCTCTTTCAAAGATGAACAAAGCACCTGTGAAATCTCTGTCGGCAAATCCATCACCTTTCTTTTCCTCTACTCTGTGTCCTACAAAAAAGATAAAATATAAAGCTAGTTGAATGCTTACAAACTTTTCTCTTTCCCTAAAATTTTCATCAGAGAATCAAAGCTCTAAGAATTCATAGTTCAGAGTTTCAAAGAGTCAATTGGACACCTTATAAAAAAATGGGACTTTAACTCCAAATTCTAAATGATGATATGATGAGTGTGAGGAATATCAGCCCTTTAAACCTCAACCCATGCAGCAGTGAAATTCCCTGATAAGTTAATAAAATTCTCTCATGATGACTCATTTTAAGACTGCAAGAACAGAATTCTTTCATGCTTCCCCTTCATTTTCACCTCATTCAAGAACTGGTGAGTCCTGCACTGTGGCAGCAAAATATAATTTTGTTGCTTTATTTCTAAGAAGAGGAAAAAACACTTTCTCTACTTTCAATTTTATCCTGCATTTGAGCAAATCACAGAATCACAGAACTGTAGGGGTTGGAAGGGACCTCCAGAGATCATCGAGTCCAACCTCCCTGCCAAAGCAGGTTCCCTACAGCAGGTCGCACATGTAGGCATCCAGGCAGGTCTTGAACATCTCCAGAGAAGGAGACTCCACCACCTCCCTGGGCAGCCTGTTCCAGTGCTCCGTCACCTCACTGTAAAGAAGTTCTTGCGCATGTTTGTGCGGAACTTCCTATGCTGCAGCTTCCAGCCATTTCCCCTTGTCCTGCCTCAAATCACCACGGAAAACAGTCTGGCCTCGCCATTCTGCCCCCCACACCTTAGATATTTATAGACCTGGTCTATAATCTAAATCCACAGGTCAATTCTATTCTTGCAAGGGATGTATTGGCTTTTCTCTACACATTGAGCTGTTAATAACACTTCATGTCCACACAACCACATTTCCTGTATTGTAGTTTACTACTAACTTTTTGAAATGAAACACTCCTGAAGTGAAAAGGCAGTTCCAAGCCAATTTGGGTAAAAACACAGAAAAATAGCAAAAAATTTTTACTGATCAGTAGATCAGCATTTTTACAAGCTCTTTTAATATTCGAGGGTTCAGTGGAGAAGGCAAAGGAGAGACCAAGTGAAAGTGAACTATTTTTCCTACACATTGAATTTTTACTTTACCAGTATTAGCTTGTTTCCACCCTCTCAACGGGCGAAAAATAAACCACCTTATTTATTCACGTTTGGCATTTCAGTTCCCACTAAAGTAGTGAATGATTGTGTTTAAGTACTATGTGTAGTTTGGGCAGTTTTTATTTGAAGCGCAAGAAGAAATTGAAATGAGTTTTCTAACATAATGGATGTTCCTTTCTCTTTCTAGTTTTACAATGGAACATCTCGCAAGGCAATACAATCTATTACCTTTTTCCTCACATACATTATTTATGGTAACTGTAAGAGCGTGCTTCATTTTTCTTATAATGAATTCTTGCAAGCTACCCAAATGTGAATTTGTATTATTATCTGAAAATATATGTTATTGCAAAAAATTCTAACAGATCTTATGTTGGATGTGAATACTCAGATGCTCTGCATTTAGCACTGCCTGAAAGGCTTAGTTTGAACTTCAACTGTTATATGATCTACAAATTACAAAAATACAAATGGTAAAGGTTTATGCACAAAACTAAGAGACCAAGGGGATGATAACCAAAAACAAATAAGGAAGGAGACAAAAAGAACTAATCCCTTAGATTAATTATTAATTCTGATGAAAAACTGACTTGGCTTTCCTGCTCTCACCTACACA